CCATTTGCTGCACCCACCTGTAGCTTTTCAGGTTAAAGTCAGAAAAATTAAGAAACAGTAGGAAAATACCAGAAACGCCAGTGTTGATTGCTGCTGCTTTAGCAATTGCAATAAATATAACAGATCATAGAATCATAGAATGGTTTGGGTTGGAAGGGACCCCTAGAGGTCATCTAGTCCAACCTCCCTGCAGGGAGCAGGAACACCTTTAAGCAGATCAGGTTGCTCAGAGCCCCCTCCAACCTGGCCTGGAATGTTCCCAGGGATGGGCCTTCCACCACCTCTCTGGGCAACCCATTCCAGTGTTTCACCACCCTAAAGAATGCAATGGCAGCGGTGGGATCATCACTATTTATTGGGTGGGGAGAAGGTTGAGCTGATAGCAGAGGAAGCTGGGTTGTCCTGTCTCCTGCCAAGGGGATTCTGCTGGGGAGAAAATGGGGAAAATAGTTGGAAACTGTAAAAGTGTTTTTGGAAATATCCAGTTAAGGAAGCAGAGGAGAAGTGATTTTCCACATAGGATTCTGTAATGTATCCACTAAAATCCCTTCACAGCTTTCAGGACCCACAGTGTGAGTAAAAGTCACCTTTCCCCAGCTGTGGCCCTGAACTCCATTAGCGGTGGGGCATGCAAAGCATTTACTGGATACCGGCAACCTCATATTCCTTCTTGGGGAATCACTGTATTTTAGCACTCACTTTATGTAGTCAAAGGCATTTAATTTTTTATTAGATGCCAATGTACTTCACATTCACTTTCTTTTGGTACGTCTTCACTTAGCTTGGCAGTACAGATGCTTTTTTGCTTTGCTTTCTGCTGCTGTTTTTAAATTGTTTTGCTTGTCTGCTTGAACTGCTGAATCCTCCATGAATAGTTACAACATTTCTGATTGATGTGTAGAAGCTTGAAATTGGAGCAGTTACAACAAGCTCCTTGCTACTATTTTCTTTTCTTTTCTTTTCTAAACCAAAAATAAAATAAAACCAGGACAGGCGGCATGCTGTAACATGAAATAAAAGTCCAGGGGCAGGAAATTGCAAGCCAGAATCAGTGCAGTTTTCTCAGATAAGCCATTCTCCGAGCATTGCATTTTCAAAATAATTGTTTGGAAATTCTGGCCAAAGGTTACATCTGCCTTTGTTTTTTTCATTTAATTTGCAGCTGTCTGAGGTGTGGTGTTGTCGTGGTGCTCTGTTAGATATTTATGAATTGAGATTTCAAGCCTTCGAGGGGGAGTTCATCATCTCACAGTCCTCTTACATTTGGCTAAAATAAGTATGCTGAGGCTTAAAAGGTTACGTATTTACATGTCTTCAGAGAATGATCCTTGCATGTTGTCCTATTGTGTTTTGCCTCTTTTCCATTAGGGAAATGCAGTACAGGGTGAGCAAATTGGTTGGATAAATCCCACCCTCCCAGATTAGCACCTGAATTTCTGGGTAGTTTTTAACTTTGTGGACCAACTTTGGACACGCAGTGTTGCTCAGTGTTTCTTTCTTATGGTGTTGCAGGGACTCTGAAATGCAGGCGTGCACATTTTGTGCAATGAAATTGGTGCTTATCCTGCCTTTTGAAACATTTGGGATATTTCATCTTTGCTTTTGGGGTGAGTTTGGCATTTTAAATGACTCCCCAGAGGTACCTGCTGGATGCTGTGAATGTGGAGGAGTGTCCCCATGTGGGAACACATTGAAGTCTGCAGGCCATAGTATTTGGGGGGTTGAATGCAGTACTCTTCCTAGCTGGGTGCTTATAGTTGAGAACTTGAAGGAGTTTCCAGCCCTTGTTTTGGTTGCATCATGGTTCATCTGAGGCTTCATTCAGCAAAGTACCTAAGTGCACATGGACTCAGAATCACTGGGCCAGGCTAAAAGTCTGTTGGGGCAAATTCAGTGTTTCTAAGGAAAGCATGGAATTAAATAGGGTAAATAATCCCTTCTCTCCCCCACAAAACACCCCAGAGATCCAAAAAAAGTCTATCACAAAATGTGAGGACCAGTCCTCTCAGCACATGCAACTGGAAATTTAGCCAAGCTGAAGCCATGTTCTGGCTGCCCATCCTCCTGTATTACTAACCCACAGTGTGTTGACACACTAAAAATGGAAGAAAAACCTCCCGAAACTGGGGTCAGTGCAGTCTGTAAAGATCTGAAAATCTTACCCTGTGCTGCTCTTCTGTCAGTGATTTAATGGAAGCTGGATCTTGTTAGTAACAAGAGAAATTCCTGGGGGACATGTAAGCCCAAGCTAATTTCTTGTGTTATATAGCCTCATATATAAAGCAGAGGGAAGGAGTGTCTGGGACAGCTGATTTAGGAGGAACTGCAGGAAGAGAAGAGTGGGAAAATCTCTAGCAATGAGCCCCTGTGCCTTTGGATTAAACACCATTTAATGCCTCAGATTTGTGTCAAATGGACAGACTGATCCAAGACTTTATTTACCGCTGGTACAGGGCTGAGTCGTCTCATGTGAGTGTTGCTGTGGGTGAGAAGCAGTGAAAAGTCCCCTGTTTGCAATGTTTGGATGTGAAGCTTGTCCTCAAGCACGGGGAGATGCATCCTCAGGACTAACCTGAGCAGTGCATCAAATGGGCTTCTCATTTTGTTCAATATTCATGGGTTTTGCCGTGCTCCATTGATGACTTTCTGCTCTTCCAAATGGAGGTTGGGCACATGGTGTTTTAACAGCTTAGAGCAATCTGGTTAAGGGATGCAGAATATGTTGTAGTTACAATCTGCTGACTTGTAAACATGAGTCGTAGCTCCCATTCAGGTTCCTGCTATGCTTCAGCTCAGAGGAGCAGCTTGCTAATAGTGGCTGTTTGAATGGGCTGTAATGGGTCGGATGGGCAAGCCCTGCGGTGCTTTTGGACTTGACCAAAGCTTCAGGTAGAGCAGATTCTGGGAAATCTGCAAAAACTGGCCCAGGTGGGATGCAGAATAGGGCTAAACCATGGGAAAATCTACTGCAAAGCTGCTGCCATAAAGCTGGTGCCAAAGACATAGGTATAAATGACTGTTTCTCTGGTGACTAATACCAATCAAAAACTAAATGCCTGTTTAAATCTTATGTAAGTGATGTATTCTTTCTCTGTAATATAGGCCAATCCAATTTCATGTTGCTCCTTCTCTGGGGATGATGAAGCTCTGGAGGATCTCAGGATTGTTTCAGGGGGTTTAAAGTTGAGAAATGAAGCTAACAAAAAAAAACCCCACCTCTAAACCTCAAACCCCCAAATATTCAAACTTGCACTTCAGTGTTTTCCTTGTAGGGCAGATTTGGGTACCTTGGACAAAGTGGGACCTTGGGAATGAAGCTGAGAGAAGTCATCTGGGCTGTGTCAATAGCAATTCCTGGCATTGAGACATTGACCCTTGCAGCTGGCCTTTCAGGAAGAAATAGGAAGGAGAGCCTCTCTTTGGGGATTGAAGATGAATGTGTGGAGGACCCATCTGGGCTCCCATCTCCCTCCTGCCCCAAAAGCTTTGAGCCCATGGAGCAGTTGCATTCTGCTCTCTGCATTCTCCCCTTTTAGGGAGGCAGGACCTGCTTGTGTGCCCTCCTGCTCTGCAAAGCAATGGCTAACCATACTTCTGTGCTTGCGATTTCTCGTTCATTCATGGCTCTGATAGTCCCACTTAATAAATGAGCAGAAATAATTTATATTCTGATTGCTAATAATTCATACACATTCTTTCTCAGTCCACACGGGCCATATCCACTGTGTTGCAGCAACATCTTTACTGTCCTGATGGTGCTGGAGTAGGTATTTGCCTGTCCAGTGCAAGTTGCACTGTGTAAGGCTACATCAGACCACCTACTTGGGCTAAATTTCTGCAGAGAGGAGGAACCTACATCTGCCTTCAAAGGATCAGCTGGGAGGTGAGCCCTTTTCAAAGTGATCAGTGGTCTCCAGTATTAATGTATCTTCTTTCTTTTTGTCTTCACAGCCACCCAGATTGATCCCAGTGAACTACAGGAACTTTTTCAGGAGACTTCAGCCAATGTCTTCCGAATTAACTCCAATGGTGCGTATAATGAAAGGTTTCCTAGTCAATTGTGTGCTGTCCTGCTGATGACTCGTGTGCGTGTACACGGTGTATGGCAGCTCCTGTTATCAGGGAGCAAATATTAATGCAGTTTTTCTGCTGCTGCATCTCACAAGCACGAGCACATGTCTAATACACAGTTCTTTATAAGATGTAAAAATATTCTACCATATGTTCCATTAAACAGGCACAGATATATTCTAATCCTTGCTAAGACCACATCCTTTTCTATTTTTAATTGTGTCATCTGTTACAATAGGGAGTTAGAGCGCAGAAAGGTGGAACAAGCCAGACTCATTTTCTAATGTGTTGCAGCACTACTGCGTTCAGAGCCTGTCATATGAGCTCGCAAAACATCTAACGCCCTTATAAAAACACCAACACCAAAACTCTTCTGTTATTCTTCACTCTGTAGATTGAGCGGGGATCCTATTCCTAATCATGTCTCCCTGGGCCCTACAGATGCAGAGTGCTTCCCTCCTTTGGAGACATGCTCTGGCTCATCAGTTTTGTTGGGTTGGGCTGGAGGGATGTATTTTGCAGATAGATATAAGCTAACATTGCTGAATGGTTATCAATGTCATGGTATCCCAGTTCTAAAATTCACTAGTGTCAGAGAAGGTTCTAAAATTAATTGGGTGCTGATCTTACAGCGGACCTTGAAATTTCTTCTGAATCACCCGGACATCTTCTCTGCCTGGTCTGGTCTGTGTCTATGGAGACTGGGTGACAGAGAGGTTGGCCTAGATGTAAAGAAAGGATCTTAGTGCCTCCTTAGTTCTGTAATTATTTCCCCAGATGTCTCAGGGTTAAGGCCCCAGTCCTTGTAGCAATGAATCCTTGCTAGAAGAAGGATGGGAAGAAAACTTCTAAAATGTAATCATCTCTTTAGAGGAATTGTGTATGCTCCATCTGCCAGGAAAATTCAAGCACCAATTTTTCTATGACTAGAAGGCATTGGTAGGTTTGAGTTTACTTTTGACAATCGTCAACTTGAGTTCAAGACCTCCTGCAACATGGATGTATGTTGTGGTTTAGCCCCAGCTGTCAAGAAGCACCACACAGCCACTCACTCACCCTCCCCCTCAGTGGGATGGGGGAGAGAATCTGAAGAGCAAAAGGAAGAAAACTCATGGGTTGAGATAAGAACAGTTTAAGAATTGACGTTTAATAATTGAAATAGAATATAATAATAGTAGTAGTAGTAGTAGTAGTAGTAGTAGCAGTAGTAGTAGTAGTAGTGGTAGTAGTAGAAGAATCATAGAATCATAGAATGTTTTGGGTTGGAAGGGACCCCTAGAGGTCATCTAGTCCAACCCCCCTACAGTGAGCAGGGACACCGCTAACTAGATCAGGTTGCTCAGAGCCCCGTCCAACCTGGCCTAGTAGTAGTAATGAAAATGAAAAAACCAAGAAAAAGAGTGAGAAACAAAACCTAGGAAAAACAAGTGATGCAACCACTCATCACCCACCGACTAACGCCCAGCCAGTCCCTGAGCAGCGATCACTGCCCCCAGCCAACTCCCCCCAGTTTATATACTGAGCATGATGTCATATGGTCTGGGATAGCCCTTGGGCCAGTTGGGGTCAGCTGTCATGGCTGTGCCCCCTCCCAGCTCCTTGTGCCCCTGGCAGAGCAGGGGGAGCTGAAAAGTCCTTGACTGGTGTAAGCCCTGCTCAGCAACAACTAAACCATCAGTGTGTTCTCAACATTATTCTAGTGCTAAATCCAAAACACAGCACTATGCCAGCTACTAGGAAGAAAATTCACTATATCCCAGCTGAAAACAGGACAATGTACCTTGCCCCAAGCACTGTGAGCCTCATTGCTGCTCTCCACTATCCCAGAAGGTGAAGTCCTGAAACAAACGTAGGCTCTGGGTAGGCTCCATGAAGTTGCTCAAGTGCCAAGCTTGCTGTAAAATCAGAAGGAAAATAGTTATTCACACTTTCCTTTGTGCCTTGGGATGGAATAACCATACAGAACAGGGCAGGATGAGTGGTGGCTGGCTATAAAGCTATTTTTAAGAAAAGACCTGGGGGTACTGGTCAACCACACATTGAATATGAATTAACAGAAATCATATTATTTTCTGTAATCACCTCATGGAAGACTGTAGAGTAGGTGGAGCCATAACCTGCCTGGTGGGAGGGTGAGAGGCAAAAAGCATCTGAAACATAGGATGTTCCAATTCAATATGAGGCAAAAGGTTCTGACCATCAGGGTGGTCGACCAGTGAAATAGGAGCCCAGGGAGGCTGTGAGATATCCGTCCTTCAAGATATTCAGAGCCAGACAAGACACTGAATGACTTGCTCTTAAGTGGACCTTTTCTGAGCAGAAGGTTGGACTAGAGGCCTCCAGAGATCCCCTTCAACCTGCATGAGTCCGTGACTCTTCAGTAGTTTGTCAGACTTCTCAGCTACAGCACATACACGATGATTCTGAATTGGTCAAAAGCAAAATGGGAAGTACACACTTCATGTTTCTTTATTTTTGTTATTTTTCAGAGGAGTAACTGATAGATGCATTATACAGTTGTTTAAAACACTTGTTATTCATAGTTTTTTGGCAAACTACTTGGATACCATGAGTTTGACAGCTTTCTTCAGAGAGCAGAATCCAAGAAATTCAGGCATTGAAAGTCACCTTTGGGCTGCCAGTGATATTTGTGCACTGGGATGCTGGAGAACAGTGATGGGATTGATGGTGCTTGCGGTGAAGGACAGCCATGTGCTGCAGGAAGTGGAGAAATTAGAGTAGTGAAACACTGGAATGGGTTGCCCAGAGAGGTAGTGGAGGTCCCATCCCTGGAAAAATTCAAGACCAGGTTGGACCGGGCTCTCAGCAACCTGATCTAGTTAGCGGTGTCCCTGCTCACTGCAGGGGGGTTGGACTAGATGACCTCTAGGGGTCCCTTCCAACCCAAAACATTCTATGATTCTATGATTCTATGGTTCTATGAAATTAAAAGAATCAGAGAATAGTTGAATTTAAAAGGGACATCTGGAGGTCATCTTGTCCAACTCCTTTGCTCATGCAGGGCCACTTAGAGCTGGTTGCCCAGGACCGTGTCCAGACGATGTTTGAGTATCTCCAAGGATGGAGACTCCACCACCTCCCTGGGCAGCCTGTGCCAGTGCTCAGTCACTCTCACAGTAAAAGTCTTTCCTGTTGTTCAGAGGGAACCTTCCACATTTCAGTTTGTGCCCATTGCCTCTGGTACTGTCACTGTGCATTGCTGAAAAGAGCCCGTCTCCATCTTCTTGCTCCCTCCCTTCAGGTATTTATATACATTAAGATCCCCCCCTGAGCCTTCTCTTCTCCATCTGAACAGTTTCAGCTCTCTCAGCCTTTTCTCATAGGAGAGATGCTCCCTAATCATCTTTGTGGCCCTTTGCTGGACTCTCTGCAGTATGTCCATGTCTCTCTTGTACTGGGAGCCCAAAACTGGACCCGGTGTTCCAGGTGTGGATTTACCAGTGTTGAGTAGAGGGGAAGGATCACCTCCCTTGACCTGCTGGCAATGCTTTGCCTAATGCAGCCCAGGATACCATTCACCTTCTTTGTGACAAGGACACATTGCTGGCTTATGTTCAACCTGGTGTCCACCAGGACCCCCAGGCCTTTTTTCCTGAGCTTTTCCTTGAAAAAACTCAAGTGCTGTGACCTGGGCTTTTGGTGACTGTGGCAGCTTGAACCTCCCAGCTGTGATCACTGGTACTTTGCTTACAGATGGGTGTATAAGCATATTATAATACACAGAAATGCCCGTATTCGCATCAGTCTTGTTTGCTCCAGCACTAATAGTTTTACCTTGACAGTGGTAGTGGTGAATGGTAGTAGCACTTCTGCTACCAAACCAAGGGCTCAGTGTGAAGTTTTGCAACCTGCTCGTGAGTCTGTGTGTGCTATTAATACCCAAACTAGCCAGGTTAGGGCTGACTTGATATGTCTCTGTGCTGTAATCACAGCTCCTCCTGTAGTGGAGTTTGTCCTGAGACACCCTTAAGATGAGTGGTGCATCTTTTTTTTTGAAATGCCATGATCTGATTTCTGTTCTTATTCTTTATTAGTATTGAATTAATCCGTTCAATTAGGTTTTGAGCAATTTCTGGTGGTCTTTGTTTCTCCTCTTGAGATGGTATAGAGCGTGCGATGATATGCTTTCTTTTGAGAGTTGCCTGTACTGAGTGCTCTGTGAAGCAGGTAATGACAGTGCCTGTACTTAAAACTATTTTGCAAAATTGGAGAGGGTACAGAGAAGAGCTATGATAACTATTTGAAGTCTGCAAATCAGACTTTAAAATGCATGCTATCCGAACTTCTGTTTGAGACTTCTAAGAGGACTTGATCATGGTGAGTAAGTACCTCTCTGTGAAGAAAGACATCAAATAGATAGCATAGGGCTCATTAATCTAACATTCTTGCACATAACGAGATCAGGAGATAGGAGTCAAAGCTGGACAAATTCAATCTTCCCCTATGAGGATAACTAGCCATTAGAACTGCTTATTGAGGGGACGTGATGGATTTGGCATTGCTTCGAACCTTTAAATCAAAATTTTAATGTCTTTTTATAAGATATACTTTAGTCCAGCTACAGTCTGCGGTCTTGATGTAGGAGTGATGGGACAAAATTTTATGGTAGGAAATCAGATTGGATAATCAGAATTGCTCTCTCTGGCCTTTAAAATCTATGAATCTATGAATTTATAATACTTTTTAAAGTGCTTTTAGGTTGAAGAAATTCCCATAAGATACTCCACTGTTGTTGCTCTGTTCACCACCCTTATTATTTTTGTCTGCTGAAGTCAGTTTCATTCAGTTTGTGCGTGGCTTCTTCATAGCCTTTTCCCCAAAAGTGGGTACAGCTTTTCAGGAGAGGCATGCTGAGTGTACTGCTAGGATTTGGCAGAGCGAATCCACATTAGCTAAAGAATTTGGCAGGGTTATAAAATGGGAAATGAGGCCCATGATCCCCTCTGCCCTGTACAGCTGTACCATATGGTCTCTTCAGGAAACCCAGCACACTCCCTCTCAGAGCATGTAGCAGAAGTCAATCCTGTTGTTTGTGTACCACCACACAAGTGGCTGAGCAAGGAACAAGCGGTTGCATTGCAGATGTCCACCAGATGATGGTTGGAACTCCTGTTGCACTGAGCATGGTGTGTTGAATGTCCTTCAGGGTTGCATAAATCCAGTCACAGCTCCCCTTTTCCTTCTTTTCCTCTTTGGGGTTTTCCAGGTTCCCCATTGCGTTTGGAAACCAAAACATGCACCTGAAATGCTCTTTTCCCCCTTGGGATGCTAAAGGTCTCATGAGCTCCCCATGCTATACCTCTGTTGTTTGAATTCCTGAAATGCCAGGTTGTGGGCAGTCTCAGCTACATTTTTCTTTTTCTGTCTTTGGAGAATGACTATTTTTAATGAAACAAGAAGTCAACTTTGTATTGGGATTTTAAAGCATCGTTGATTTTTATTGAGTAACACCACAAAAGTAAAAAAAAGTTGCATACTTTGTCCCTCTTCGCTCTCCTTACTCCTTTTGCAGAAGTCTGAGCCTTTGGGGTGATTTTAGTTCTTGGGCCGTTCAGGATTTGCCTCCTGACCAAGGGATATCTTTGTGGCTCTGGCTCTGATTTCATGCATAAATTCCTCATGCTCCCTTTTTCTGCTATGAAAACAGAAATCTTCCTCATGTGTTGAATAAAAATCTTAGCCAGGACACTTGGTTCTGTTTATGTGCTACTGGATCACTCTCTGGCCAGGTTATGAGCTTACAGACTTCTTTTTTTAATCCCATCTCTTACAGAAATGTCAAGGGGTAGAGAAAACTTTTATTCCGCTTTCTTTCTCTCTCATTCTTTGGGGGCTGTCCCTGTTAAGCCCAGGGAAGTTTGTCCGATAGTGCTTTGACTTATGTGAGTTTTATGGGTTTTTTTGGTTTTGTGCTTTTTTCCTTTCAGGGGAAAAAAAAACCCCAACACAATAATAAGCTCAAGTACTGGTTGAATTTTTCTATTGATGCCTTTTTTTTCCTACTTATTTTTATGAAGGTTTTGCATTTCTTTCAAAGTACAGCTTTTAGCTGCCTCTCAGTAAATGCCTTAGAAATAAGTAAAATAAATAACACTCGTAAAAGAGGTTGGTTTGGTGCATCATGTCTAGAGGGCTGATCAGTGGAGGATATACTGGAGGAATCAGACCTGTTCTGGCCAGATGGAGAACCTGAGCGCTCTAATAGGTCTGTTCCCTCTCTAATTCCCGTTACTTGCTCATTAATGACTCCCCGTGACAGGTTGGTGCCACGCACAGCCCCATTACCTTGATCTGAGAGGCTGAGCAAAGAATTTTTCAGCATCCCCCAAGGTGTGATATAGTCTTCATTGCCATCTCAGGAAGGTTTCTTATCCCCCCATTGATTTTAAGGATTGCAATGGTATAGGCAACTGGTGCCGAACTCTCAGTTTATGTAAATCAGTGCAGCTCCAACAGCAGTGATTGCACCTGAATGTGCCTCATCCTGGAGGACTAGTGTATGCCTTTTAAAAATTAAGTGTACATGCCTTTTAAAGTAAGATGTCTGTTTTAACACTGGCTTCTCAGCATCGCTCCAGCACAGCTTGACGTGTTGCTCCTTAGATAGAGTTACTGCTTGCATGGTCAGAACTGGTAAACTGGGACGGATTGTCCATATCCAGCACAGAAACTACCCAGATTTTGATAGAGAGATTTTTGGCCAAATCAAGTTAGATCCATCCCAAAATAGCTCAGTCCCTGCCCCTCCTGTCCCATCCCGAGATCCAGGAGACTCAAGTTTGAGTCTCATTTCTGCTATTTCCCAAATAAGACCCATATCAAATGACAACTTTTGGCTCTTCCAGAGTATATATCTTGTCCTTTTGGAATAGCTGACCTTTATCTAAGTGTTTAAATATTATGCTCAAATTAAAATATTAGATAAAATTTTAGGATAGGCACTTAAATCAGAGTCACTTTCTCACCTGACAAGCATTTTGCTCTTCTCTTGCATTCCTGTCTCAGGTTCTTTTACATATATGGGTCTTTTCCAAAATATTTAACAAACATGAAAGCTCTTTGATTTGCCTCAATGTGAAATAGCATGTGAAGTCTTGAACGGTTTTGTGCAATAGGAAAATGTCCTACTCCGTTCTTCTCCAAAGCAAGCAATAGTGAAGGTCTGCACTGTCTTTGCAGAGAACCACCGGCATATTGGATCTGTTTTTTCCATCAAGCTCATCTTCATTTGTAGGAAGATGCTGGCAAAGTAGCTTTAATTTTGAATTGTCCTGATTTTACAGCTGAGGTTAGAAAGGTGCCTGGATGCTGTAGCTGCTATTTTCCCTTCTAGAGTCACACACATGGCATAACACATTCTTAGAAATTCAATGTCTGCACAAGTGCTTTCTCTACCTTGACTTGCTGTCCATTCTCCAGGGACCACGCTCTGCTCTGTCCTGAAGGGTTGATGGGCCCAGAAGTATTTTTACATGATGCCAAATTTTGTTTTTGAAACAGACAGTATATAGAATGCATGGGAGATTGATTGGTTAGGGTTGCAGAGGGGGGAAGAGAGGGAATGATAATATCTGTGAGATCTCTGAAGGATCAGTGCTCTTCTCCTAGAGAAGCAAATGCTTATTAGTGAAAACTCTCAATTTATTCTTTGAAACATTGTCTATCCAGCAAAGGATAATAATTATTAGCTCAGTTATAGACAGTTCCTCGAGGCTTTATCTTACTGAATCGCCGAACTCTACCCTAAATTCTGGTATTGAGATCTAGCAAGTGGGGTGAAAACACATGGTGGTATTGAAGATTTTTTTGAATACTCATGTTGTCCAGGCACATTAGTTACTTTTTATGCTGTTTGGTGACTTTTAGCGTTTACCCAGAGAAGCCCAAAAGAGAAGAGGGGATTTTGCCTGTCAGTGGAAAAGTATTAAAGTGAGTTGTTCAAAGTTACAGGCTGAGTCCAAGCCTGCAGAATCATTAAAACAGAGGATTTCTTAAATTTCTATGGAAATAATTGAGACATGTTTCTAATCTGTTCTTTTTTCCTTCCCTAAATATTGAAGTGTGACTGATAACGAGTTATGAGTTTTTACAACTAGATGCATTCTGAGAAAATCCCACATGTAAATATTAAGAATGTCATTTATTTGGCGTCTTTCATAGTGGAAGATCTTGAAGAACTTTGCATACTTGATACGCTAAGTCCAAAAATAGTGACCTGCTGTTAATTTGAGAGTGAATTTGAGACAGCGAACATTCAAGGGTGTAAAAAGGCAATGGTACTCCTAGATTTCTGCCACTTTTTTATACACATGTACACATACACATATATATTCCTTAAATCTGAAGTCACTGTGTATCGCAAAACAAACCTTGTTTCCAGCTTCCAGCTGCTCTTAGGAGAGAGTATTCTCCTCCCCTGATGGAAACACCCAAGAAGCTCTTTGGCTCAAACACAGGAGATAATCACAGCAAAGCACCCCATTTCATCTGAGCCAAAATGTAGACAAGATTTGGAGTATTAAAGTCTTGAACAATGAGATAGAAGATATCAGAATGGACAACAGTGTTCTGCCTCGTAATCGCTGTTCGGTGCAATGAAAAGTTATTATGCAATGTCTTGCCTCTTCATTGAGGGCACATCTCCAGCTGGAGATGTTCCATGTACAGTTCTGTGGGGCCTCAAGGCATGGACCTCCTGAGAAGGAGAAGCAGTGTTTTTCTGCTCCCAGGAGTGCTGCTCAGATCTCCTGGCAGAAAGCACAACTGCCTCCAGCTGTGGGAATTTCATTCAGTTGCTGTAATATGAGGAGTTAGAAAGTCTGGGGCTGGCAGAGTCAGAGATCTGTGCAAGGCCCATGGGATGGAGATTTCCTTGCTGTTACAAGAGGTCATGCCCTGTCATGTCATGGCTCATGACAAGTGGATTCACCATTTCTGCATCCAAGGGATTCAATTTATCCATTCTGGGTTGTCCACTCTGTCTCATGACTTACCAACCCAAACACTACTTCATTGCATTGTCTTGAAAGAAAATAAATTAAAAGACAAACAAATGAATGAAAATCCCGTATTTATTTTTTTTTTTTCTCTGAAAAAGTGTACTGCTTCTTTATCTTTTCTTTCCCTGCTGTTGACAGTGACCTCTCTGGAAAGAAGCCTTCGATCTCTGGGGACCTCAAATGATACTCAAGAGCTGCAGGATGGACTGTGAGTTTGTTTTGTATTGCTCCAGGTCTCTCTTTGTCCCAGCCTTTTCATTTTTTTTCCTCATCCATCCTCATCCTTTCTTCTGTCCTTTTTTAATAGCTGGACACTTTTTCGTCAGGCTTACTTCATTTTGTTCCTTTCCATCAGTGATTAATGATGGAAGGACGTGTATTGATCATATAAAGCTTTGCTCATGCTCGTTTCAGGTGGCAGAGAATGGTAGGTAGATAACAGAAAATGATGGCCCACAGTGAAAGAGGGTTTTCTGTGGTTGTGTATGTGCTATTATATTTTGTTTGTTGGGTTTTTTGTTGTTGGGGTTTTTAATTTTTTTTTTAATGTGAACCCAGAATAGGATGCTTGCATAGCTTTTTCCTCCCCACCCTCCCACCTTACCAAAGACCATGAATCCAAGAGAAAAAGAGAGAGAGAAGGAGCAAAAAGATATTTTTATAGGCAGAAAAGTGTGTTTTGGTGTTACAACCTACATCACAGCATCAGACGGCACAACACTGAGAAAATGGAACTTCAGTTTCACTCGCAATAGATACAGTTCATTAAACTCTCTCTTCTAGATATGTGTATACACAAACACGCACAGTTAGTTTTCATTGTACGCATGCTAATTAGAGAATTAAAATGGCTTTTCCAAATGTAGCACAATTTATTAAAGCTTCTTCCCTTCTTAATGCAGCTTGCATGCAAAAATCAAGTACTTAGGATGTGGCTCTGGTTTCGTGTATATAACTGCAGTGCCTGCTGAGGTTTGGCTGTGAACAAAGGGGAGAATTTGGTTTGTATTTCTTTATATTGGCTTTATACGCTGTAATTTGCCTGATGGACTTGCCTGACCTTCTCAATGCAATTTAAACTCTCAGACTGGGTTGCAGTCTCTCCCCCTCTCTCTCCAATCCATTCCTTACGTGCGTGTATCAGATCTGCCCTAATTCACATACACTCTGTTTTGCAAACTTGATGATTAAAAATAGGAATAGTAATAATAGTCAGAAGGTTTAGAACTAAATTTAGGTGACTGGAGAGGACGTAAGAGTAAAAAGTAAGCCTGTGGAGATTGATGTAATCAGGAAAGATGTTTACATGTACAAAATTATTTGTAGCATAAACCACCCCAGTAACCACTGGAGATTCTTAACCCAGGAAAGCCTTTCTATCAACCACGCAGAGCAGCTATTGTGCATGCATTCCTAAACTATTCTTTTTTTATTTAAGAATCAATTCCCTGACTCTTCAGAGAACTTAAAAAACATAGCTAGATGATCTTCTTCTTTCCTGAGCAGTTACATAAATAGATGCATAACACACTAATTGCAATAACTATTTTTGATCTTGGAATTATCATTAATTGTCCAGATAGATAAATGCAGCTTATTTTTATTTTAACCATGCTTCTCTGCCCCTGTCATCAGCCCTAGAATTCCTCCAGCTGCCTCCTTCCACCCTCATGGTTCATCTTCTCTCCCCATGCTCTAGCAGAAGGTCTGTCCTGATTTCTTCCATTTGGTTTGTTGCATCTCCGGACAGAACAGTTGCAGGATGCCAAGCAGAGGAGGATCAACAGCTGTCTTCCCCTCAATCCTCTCATTCTTTCATTCTGTCCTAACACTGCTGTATCCTTTGCATTGCCTCTGATTTCATGGCCAGATGCAGGCAAGCAGCCTTGAATGCTCTACAAGCATCTCTGCCTGTCTCTCATGAGAGCTGCACCAGCAGAAAGCAGTATGCCATGAATCACGAGAGCTGGCAGTGCTGCATATATCTCTATGTTCAGGAACAAGCAGAGGGTCAGCTCTTCAGGTGAGACCTTTGGAGCACAGTTTTCTGCTTCCCCGGCTGCAAATCATGGCTTAATCTTCTTCCTTTGCCACTTGACCCTTTCCTTCAAAGGTTGATGCATGTTTCTCCTTGAACATCCTCTAACTCGGAAGATGATTGGGGAGCAATGAGTGAATATTTGGTAGGTTTATAGCCTTGGCTATTAGGAAAACAATTGTATTTGTGGATATCTAAATTGTAAAAATGCCACACTTTCTACTTTCATACTAAGTAGGTAGCTATCACTCTGCCTAAAATGAGACTGTTAGGTAGGTAAGGGGAGGTAGAATATTTGAGACTAGGGGTTCATGGTGAATAGTGGTCCTGCCACATAGGACATTTAGCTACCATCATCTGTATACTGCAAAAGTATTTGCTTACCTAGCTGCAGGATCCTGCTAAAACAGAAGAAAATGAAATTGCCTGACTCCTTTCCAAATTCATGCAGACTTTCTGCCTCTTATCACAGAATCACAGAATCTCAAGGGTTGGAAGGGACCTCAGGAGATCATCTAGTCCAACCCCCCTGCTAAAGCAGGCTCTCCTAGAGCATGCTACACAGGACTTCATCCAGGCGGGCTTTGAATATCTCCAGAGAAGGAGACTCCACAACCTCCCTGGGCAGCCTGTTCCAGTGCTCTGTCACCCTTAGAGTAAAGAAGTTTTTCCTTGCACAGGACTTATAAGGTCACCAGATGAGGGCAGGGTTCTTACTGTCAAGTTGGGCTATTCCCTTTTCTGAAATGGTTTCTCTCCCTTTGATAGCTGAGTCGTTCAGAATAAGGACTGTATCTGTGGCAAGTAAATTTGGGAGAGTTCATCCCAAATGGAGTGCCAGCTCTAGCCAGTGAGACAGCCTTGGCTGTGTGAGTAGGGTGTATATGTGGCCCAACAGTGAGAAATCTTGGTCAAAGATCTTCCCAGAGCCAGCACAAATTCTTGTGTGCTATGTGCTTGGAACTGTAAGTCCTGGCAAGTGAAATGTAAATGCCAGCAAGAAGCTCTAGGTGGAGTCTGCTGAATGCAACTGACCCTGGATTAATTGGGAAGGGAATGAGAGCAAAAGAAAAAAAGGTGCATGGAGCTGGGGTGAGGAGCTAGGGCCAGAAGGCAACGCTGACACCTTTCTCCAGTGACGCTTGGCTACAAACAGCTTGTTAAGTACTGATACGTTGCAAGAAAAATCAACTGATTTAATACTCCAAGCTCCCAAGGAATTCATCTGCCTCCTTAGCCAGAGGATTTGGAGTGAGGGGTTTCTCCAACATTAGGCACTGAAGGCAACTATCTTTTAATTCAAGCAAATAAACATAAATGCCCAGATGAATCACTGCCTCTGAGAGACAGGGAAAACCATTCTCTATTCCTGTGAGTGGGTCTGTCTGGTTTGCCTCCCAAGACCCTCAAAAAAGAGGCTGGAAGTGCAAGCATTCCTGTAACCTGTAATGATCTCTGAGAAGTGTGATACGCTTCCCCGTACCAGTCTTGCCCATGTTTATTCATCACTGACACAACACGTCGAGGTGAAGGATGCCTTTGCCCAGCTTAACATAGAGGCTTGGGTCCAGAGGCATGCCCTTTTAACGTTACTGTGAGGATAAAGCTTCCCTGTGTACCATCAGATTTTTTTTTTTCCTGAGAACAAAATTTAATAAGAAAAAATGTAAAGCTAGCATTTTTTTTTTTAGGAAAAAAAGAAAATTCTTGCGTTTTTTGACAACCTGACCCAGTCTTATCGTGACCTCAAGAAAAGAAAGGTGGTCATGCAGTTGCAAGTAGCATTTGATGGCTACCTTGAACTCCTGAGACTGAGCATTTAGCGGCATGAAGCGTCCTTGATGCCCTTTCTGTGGAGGCTGGTTGACCATAGCAGTGACCCGTGCTCTCCAAACCAGGGTTCCTGCACTACTCACCTCAGTGAGGAGTATATCTCCTCATTGGACATTTGGCCTTGGCTCATTCCAGGTGCAAGGTCAAGAACAATATTCCATTGAGTTACAGCCCTAGCTTACTACCCTTTTTTAAGTGTGTCTGGGATGTAGCCCATGAGTCTGTGGCATTTTTGAATCCTTTTCCAGTCACTAGCAGGAAAATTTGCCTAGGCAGGACTTATAAGAAGAATGTTTTCAGGGCTTTTAGCACTGATGAGATTTTTGAATGTGTCCATACTGCAGAATGTTTTGATTTCTCCTGATTTGAGGAAAAGCTCAAATTTTGGCTTCCACTTACCTTCTCCCACTGACATTGTTATTTTTTTTTTAAATGTGCACATTACAGAAATACGTAGGGATTTTCTTCCTGCAACAGAGAGAGGGCTCAGCTCTACATCTGTACAGCATGTGAAAATAAATCTCCTTTTCTGATAGAAGTGATACGGCACTATTCAGTGCTCTCTCTCATAACACCCTTCCATTCCCTTGGAAAAATCAGACATCCGGACACTACAAGACCACTACCAGAGAACCCACAAGGATGCAGACCCTCCTGTTCTTGAATCCTATTAAGATGGTCCATGTCAGAGCATTCCCGTGGCCACAGCCTGAGTGTCACATCTGAGCAATGTTAGTGAATATATATATATACTATATAGAATCATAGAATCCTAGGTTGGAAGGGACTTCAAGGATCATCTAGTCCAATCTTTCTAGGTAAGAGCACAGTCTAGACAAGAAGCTTATATGAAGTGATCACTGTCTGCAAAATACTGACAAAGTGCATGCTTTTTGATGTGTAATACTTTAATGATTTTATTAGGGCTATGCAGC